TATCCACATTTCCCCCCTCCTTATGTTTAACTAAATAAGCTAATATAAAATATTAAAATCTTAATACTTAACTGTAAGACTTCAGCTCAATACTTAGTCTTGAGATTTATCTTTAAGATATAACTATAAGACTTAACGTTAATTAAGCTTAACTTCAATTAAAAAATGTAAATATCAAAATCTTACGATAACAAACATAAGGCACATTAGACGAATACATTTCTAAATTAGCTAAAATATAACAATCTTAAAAATTCTATTGCTATTCTTAGTCTTGTTCTTACTCTTATTCTGTTTTTATTCTATACTTTATAACACTCTTAAAAAGCATATGTCATAAACTAGAATAAAAAACATAAGGCACAGTAAACGGGTGAAAGTTGGGGTAACTTTAGGGATAACTAGGGGTAACATTGGGTAGGTACATTTTTAAAGCAGCTGCTGGTGTTCTACCAACATAATGTTAACTTTCTCTAGCCGGCTCTTGACGAACGACACGATTCTATTCAGTATGCAGGGTCCAAAAATTAGTGTCATCATGATCATCGCGATCGGTCCTACTGTTATGTTTTCTCTTATCACTCGATCACTTGCAAGGTCCCGTAGGATCCACCTGTATGGCTGATGGTGATGGTAATCTAGTTCTGCCTGTCCTATAGTGACAAGCTCCAAAATCAGGATCACACAAAGGCATCGTAGTCCCCCTTTGCGGAGGCTATTATGCCGTTGTCTGGGTTCTGCCAGTGAGGAACTTCCAGGCTTGGACAGGACACTTGCCAACTCGTCATCTTCTTTTGTCACCGCGGTGTACGGGTTACGGGGGTGTCCGATGATCCGGCCCTGTGAACAAAAACTCACAGTTTTCATTAGTTTTATTCTGGAGGTCTGGTTTAACGGACTTAAGTGGACACCACTTAACTTTTCCATCTTTTTTGACAGCGGCAGGGTTAGATGCTCTTCCTTCGCGACATGCTTAATCATGTCCGCGATGCTTGACCCCGCCGGTAGCGATCGCAGGATTTCTTTGGTTGTTGAATTACACTGCTGACGCAAAAATTCTGCCATGACTGGGCCTTTTGCCTCCGCAGGCAAGGCCGAAGAGTCGACCGCCGCTTGGAGACGATACACAAATGGTGTAAAGCTCTCAATTTCACTTTGCTTTATTGTGGACCATAGTGATGGTTTGGCAATGACTCTAGAGGCTGTGCGAATAGCTTCTGTGGCCGCACGAGTAGTTGTAATAACTTCATGGGCCCGCAGGCCCTGGGCTTGCGCCTGGGGGGTAATCTTTGTGGGATCTGTGCCCATTAACCGCTGCGGGCTGAAGCCATGCCTTTTTCCTGTTTTCCCAAGAACACTGAGGTGGTGTGGTTTGGTTGTCTAAGTTATATGTAGTATTTGCCCCTATAGCCTCATAAAAAGGGGGTTTCACATCATAGCACAGTCAACAGTGTGTAGTTAGGTTTGGGTTAGTTTGGTTCAAGGTATCATAGGTAGCTTGCTTTACTTTCCACAGGGGGGGTTTTCCCGTTCTATCGAAGGAGGGTGTTAGAGTATTTCTGGTGGTTTCCATGGGGCTAGTAGTTATCTCTGGTCCACTAATAATTGGATTGGGGCCAACTCCTTGAGGAGAACTTTTTACTTCCTTCTTCCTTATAAATATCAATCCACCTTGATCTTGTCCCTGTTCCCAGTACGTGACCCCCCAAGTCGTTCCCCTTATCCATCCTGGGTCTTCTGGTTGCATTACTTGGAGGATTATGGCATAACAATTACTAGTCCCTACAGATCCCCCAGACTGATCAACTCGTGGATGTTTACAACCTAGTGGTCCCCACATTGTCGTTAAATACTTATCTTGGAGTGGGGGTTTCCAGGCAGAAGCGATAGTAACACAGTCCCAATATGCACAATAGTATTGATTAGGAGAATTACAATATCCCTTTCCTGGGTTAGATTGTGGACACAAGTAATAGGGTCGCTGATTTAGGCAAGGCTCTATGGGTGCTAGTTCACACAGATCAGCAGTAAAGCTTGGGCGTCCTGCTGTTACGTTTCTACGAATTATTTGTGACTTTTCCCAGCTGCCAAGGACCCATTCAAAAGGTTGGTGGTGATGGTAACCTAATTCTGCCTGTCCTATAGTGATAAGCTCCAAAATTAAGATCACACAAAGGCATCATAGCCCCCCCTTGCGGAGGCTATTCTGCCGTTGCCTGTGTTCTGCCAGTGCGGAACTCCCGGGCTTGGACAGGACGTTTGCCAACTTGTCATCTTCTCTTGTCACCGGGGTGTACGGGTTACGAGGGTGTCCGATGATCCAGCCCTGTGAACAAAAACTCACAGTTTTCATTAGTTTTATTCTGGCGTTATCGTAAAAGTTGGGGCACCTACTGTTACGTTCTTTTTTATCACTCGATCATTTGCAAGGACCCGCAGGATCCACCTGTATGGCTGATGGTGATGGTAACCTAATTCTGCCTGTCCTATAGTGACAAGCTCCAAGATCAGGATCACACAAAGGCATCGTAGCCCCCCTTTACGGAGGCTATTCTGTACGGGTTACGGGGGTGTCCGATGATCTGGTCCTGTGAACAAAAACTCAGTTTTCATTAGTGTTATTCTGGAGGTCTGGTTTAATGGGCTTAAGCGGACACCACTTAACTTTTCCATCTTTTTTAACAGCGGCATACCCTCGCCCTGTAAGGACTAACCTCCACCCTTGTTCCCACTCTCCCAGCTCATTTCTGATTATAACCAACGGGCCTTCTTCTAGTGCTCGGGTGGCCCAATGTTTTTGGGTGGGGCTATTTACCTCTTCCCCCCTGGGGAATTGATTTACTGCTAAAAGAGCGGTAGCTAACAGGCGTGCTTGGTCTCCCGCGGGAACGGCGTTAGCAAAACCCTCTGTTTTCGCTCACACTTCTAATTTAGATTTTAAAGTCTGATTTGCTCGTTCGACTATAGCTTGTCCTGTGCTATTATACGGAATGCCGCGTGTTAGGGTGATACCCCATTTCGAAGCAAATGTCTGGACAGATTTAGAGACAAAGTTTGGACCATTGTCTGTTTTGATTTGATTAGGGACGCCGAGTCATGCCATGACCGTTAACCAATGTTGGATGGTCGCTTTGGAGTCGGTCCTAAGGTGTTGTGTGGCTACGATCACTCCGCTATATGTATCTACGGTTACCGCTAGCCACGCTCGAGGTTTCAGCAACTGACAGAGCGTAAAATCTGTCTGCCACACTTCGGAGGCCTTAAGACCTCTGGGGTTGACTCCACTGGACCACAGTGGTGTTTTCTGACACTGAGGACACGTGGCTATTATGTGTTTCGTGTCAGTGACTGAGATCCCACATTTCTTTGCTAGCGCTTTAGCTCCGATGTGGAGAGACTCGTGTAGCTGACAGGCATCTCTTAACGTCCACAACCCTTTTGCAGTGGCGTCTGCCTTGTCATTAGCGATTTGGAAAAACCCTTTGATTGGGTTGTGGCTGTTGACGTGGATGACGATATGGTGCCCTTTCGGGAAAAAAGTGCTTCTTCTAGCATTAGAGCTTCTGTGGATGTTGACACGCCGGGCCCCGACATGGCTAAACAAAGCTTGACCACGAACATCGAATCGGTCACTATGTTGAGGTGTTCTATTGGGAACAGTCCACACGCTAGTACTACAGCCGTCGCTTCTAGTTGTTGGACTGAAAGCGCACAATCGGTCATTTTAATGCAGTGCCATTCTCCTCCCGAATGCCATACCGCCGCAGCGGTTGAGGTCGCCGAGGATGCATCTGTGAAGACCGTTGGTCCCCGTTGGGGCTGGTCTATGATCTTTCGCGGGAGGTCGATGTTGACAATTGTTA